CTCTCCGCACACTCACCGGACCTGGGCTAGGACTGGGTCTGGGGGCTCCCGGAACTCGGCAGAAAATCCTACTCAGCGGGCGGGGTGGGGGAGGCACTGCGGAGTGTTGGTGAGGCGGCCCAAGGGGCTGGGAGAGGGTCCGGCCCACTCTGCGCCTGGTCTGGGACCAGTCCTGCCAGCACAGGGTAGCAGGAAGCTCTCCACACACTCACCGGACCTGGGCTAGGACTCGGTCTCACTCACTGTTTTTGAAAGTGTATCGTGAATGTCTTTTTCACATCGGTAATCTTGTCAACATCTTAACTGCTGTTTCTTTGTTCCATCTGTTGATTGGGAGAAAGTAGGCTTTTGAGACCAAATCTTCCACCCTGGTCAGTGATTGGAACAAATAAGAGTGCTGGTCAAGGTTGTGCAGGACTTTTCTACCTGTCTGAGGAGTTCTTTGTTCATTTATATAACTTTGTTTCTGGAAACCTATACAAAAGACAATGGGGACCAGGACCAGCTAATTTGTCCACTCTTTTTCTCACCCTTAGGCAAAAGAAGGCAAATGTAGCCCACAAGCACTGGGTTGGACCTTCGAATCTGGTCAAGTGCAAGCCATGTCCTGTGGCACAGTCGGCCATGGTCTGCGGCTCTGATGGCCACACCTACACATCCAAGGTTGGTCCTTCCTGTTGTGTTTTTTGTCATCAAAAGAATTTCAGGTCTGCTTGTTGAGTCTCTGTGCTAAAACAGGGGTGTGGGCCACTTGGTTGGCTCTGTGCCTTGTCCTTAAGAAAACACCACATGAACAGACTCAGGTAATTGCTAGATAGCAAGATAGGTGGCAAGATAAAAATGTTATGTTTCATGTAACTGGACTGGCTGGGGTTTAAAGGGAAGCTTGCTTCTGGCAGTGACGCATTATCCTGAAGTGAATCTTGGGACCCCTCTAGAAGGTGAGGTAGCATTATTCTCAAAAGACAGAGGCAGGATAGCTCAGCCATGGGGAGCAGCCCAGGGAGAGGCTGAGGAGGCTGCTTTGTGAGCTGACATGCAAAGAAGAAATTTAACTTCATTCTACATTTGACCTATACTTAGAAACATCTGAGATCCATTTGGTGCTGTGTAGGCCTGATAAAACATGGCTTCTTTCTCTGGAGGGATCAGGGCATCCTAGTATTATGGGTTAAATGAGATAAGTGCAGTGACTGGCCAGTTTAGCATAGATCACACCAAGACAAACCAAGTGGTTTATGTGAAAGCAGCCAAGGTGAGGTGGGTCTACATACTTTTACTGGAGGAGGTAAAGAGACATCTGGATCCCGCTGTAAGATTTATAGCTAGGAGGCAGGGGTTGTGTGAGTGGAGGACAGAGAGGAGAATTTGTTCTTGGAATATCAGACCTTATTCTTGGGATAGCTTTGTTGATTTGCATTTGAGAGTGGCTACATTTCATTGGGGTAATGAAGTAAGAAAGGGGAGCCATAGAATTAAGTTTTCTTAATTCCTTCTCTTATCTTACAAATGGTAATACTCCCTGCAGACCTGGCACTGAAGGAGCTGGTGTGCGGCTGCATGTCTCCTGAGATTTATCTGTTTTCTGCTATTTCTGTTTAAGGTTCCACTTGCTAAGTGGAGTCTCTGAGCAGCCAGTTGCAGTAGAGAATACCCTGGTTGCCCCTGGCCACACTGCTGTGTGGGTTCTGGGCTTTTCTGCTGGGGTTCCCTTTACCTTTGCCCTTGCCCTGCTGCCAGGTGGATGACAGCTTCTGTTCTCAGTGAAGCTTCCCTCAGTCTTCACACCCTGGAGATGCCACACACCTGGAAGAAGTCTCATTTCTGGCTTTCCTAAGGGCTTATTCTGGTTACTTTGGGCTGCAGCAGGGATGCACAGGTCCAATGTTGGGACAGCATGTATGCCCACCAAGAGATAGATGTGCTATTTATAGGCAATGGAGTACTGCTCTGCCCTAGAGAAGGATATTTTTCAGTCAGCTTTTTAAAATTTTGTTCTTATGTATTTCTACAGGGTCCACAGGGTCTCACTACATAGATTGGACTCATAGTGATTCTCCTGTTTTCAGCCTCCCAAGCGCTGGGATTACAGAGGTGTGCCACCATGCCCAGTCTTGATCTTCACCTTAGCGCGCCCCGGGGTGGGGCTGGCATGCACACTGAGCTCTGCCTAAGCAGGTACATTAGTCTACGGAGGTATCTGAGTCAGTTTTAGGTAAATGGGTACACTTCAAGACCACAATGTTAAGTGAAATAAATTGGACACGCAAGTTTAAATATCTCACTGTTTCTGTTGTGTGAGAAACCCAAAGGGTAAATAAGTTATAAAACAGAGGACAGATATCAGAAAAGTGGGAAAAGCATGTTAAAATGGGAAGGGGAGTAGGGTAAGGGCAAAGGGAAGGAAGGGCAAAGGGGCTGAGAAAGAGAATGGAAGGGAAAAAATGCAGACAAAGATTTTGTAAATGAGGCAGAAAAGGGTTGAAGAGAGGGGAAAGAAATGTGGAAAGAAGAATCAGGACACACTAATATGGTACAAACTCCCTATGGTGAAGGTGATCACTGTGCATGGCAAATATGTACTAATAAAGTTTTAAACACGTTGAAAAAAGATGTTAGACAAAAAAGGTGGTGCTTTCCTTGTCGGAGTCAGTAAACCTTACCTCTCCATCTGTGGCCCTGCCTTGCAAGTTAGAGCTCCTCTGCCTGAGATCGCAGTATGGCCAGTAGCCCTGCCCCTTACCTCAGCCTTCCCTCCGCTTCACTTCCTCTCTTTTCTTCTGATGGAATCAAAGTTCAGAACTGCTTGCAGTGCTGGTGCCTGCTTCTGACACCTTAAGCACAGCTGGAAGAGTGGATTTATTGCACAGTTCTCTGTGGCTGGAGAACTCTTCAGAGGTCAATCCCAGACTGCAGTGCAAGACCTGCTTATGTATCACAACATTGCACGGAAGCTGAATTCCAAGGTATTGGTTTAGAAAAACAACTGCTGGCTGCAGGGACAACTTGGTTTGTGTGTCAGTAGAAAGGACTCTGCGTGCCTACAGTGGCACATGTGCCATAGCTCCGCCACTGCTGACCTAGATGCTAGGTGAATGGACAGTTGCCTGAGGTCCTGTTAAAATGCAGATTCAGATTCAGGGGCTGGGGAGATAGCTTAGTGGTCTAAGCACCTACCTGGCAAGCGCAAGGACCTGGGTTCAATCCCCGTACCACATGCCATGCCAATAAATAAAAGATTTTTAGAATTTTTTTTAAAGAAGTATAGATTCAGATATAGCAGGTCTGGGGAAGCTCTGAGGCTCTGCATTTCTAACAACTTCTCAGGTGATGGAAGCTGAATTCCAAATAGAGGGATCCCTCATAACTACAACTTTCCTGCCCTGACTTCAAGTCCATTTCTAAATAGGGGAAGAGAGAGTAAACACTCACATCTCTCCTCTGCTTCAGTGTTCAGAAAGCTTTCCTCTTGCCACTGGAACTCAGCTCAGACTCTCTATTGTTACTATGAAAGCACCCCAGGACCTGGCCCCACCCTACTCTAGGGTCACTCCTAGGAAGAAACTTCCACCCATTGCTAGTTTCTTCCTGTGCCATGAAACCTCTGGGAGAGAGAGAATGGTGAATAACACAGAAACCATTCCTGCTCACGTGGGTGTTGCAGTCTCATAGGGGAGACAGAATTAAACAAGGACTGTATTTTTTTTAATCTGATATTGGCTCTCACTATGCAGTTTAGACTCATAGTGATCCTCCTGTCTCAGCCTCCCCAGCAATGGGATTACAGGTGTGCACCACCACACCCTGTTTCAGTAGCTGGCTTGGTGTGGAGCCAGTACTAGGGGTTGAGCCTGGACCCTTGCACTTTCCAGGCAGGTGCTTAGACAGCCGAGCTATCTTCGCAGCCCAAGGAACTATACTGATCAGCTTTAGAATCACTGAGATACAGTATACAACACCCACAACTTAAAGATGGAAAGATTTAATTTGTTTACAGTTTAATTCCGTGATTGGCTAGGTTCAAGGCAGAGACAGCACAGCAGAGTGTAGAGTAGAGCAAAACTTCTTAGCTCATGAAAACCCAGAAGTAGAGCAAGGGGAGAGTGCCAGAGCAGAAGGGGCAGAGGGCCGGCCAGAGGCCTCACAGCCATGCTGCCATGACCCAGGTGCTCCTTGGGGTGCATTCCACCAGTCTGTTGGGTGGATCCCAAAACTGATCAAGCTGACCCTCCACCTAAACACCACTGTTACCCAGCGAGTAAATACGTGCCTTTGACTTAGTAAGTACTGCAGAGCTGATGCTGAGAGAGAGAGAGAGAGAGAGAGAGAGAGAGAGAGAGAGAGAGAGAGAGAGAGAGAGAGACCTACACTGTAGGTGTGGGGAGGGAGAGTTTCTCTGCCAAGGTGTTTTTCAATTGAACAGAAGGGGAAGCACATTCCAGCTAGATCACAATGGGACAGGCAGTATGCAGAGGGTGTGTTTCCTGCACTGTGAGGATCCCCATGTGGCTGTAGTGGTGAGAGCAAAGGCGTGTTTGAGGGGAAGAGGAAAGATGTTGAGAATAGTCTAAGAGGGGACATTTAGGGAAATGTAGGTGATGGTACAGAAATTCAAGGCTTGTGACATGCTGAGCATTATTGTTGCCTTAAAAATGTCAAATCCTGAAAGCAGAGATAATGGCCATCTTGACCCCCACCAAGTGAGTAACGGGTGTTCAATGGCACTGCCCCAAGAGGAGCCAAAGGGCTCTAGGAGAAGCGGTGGGGAGGCTCTGGGCTGTGTTCCTTCAACCCGTCCTGGACTTGAGGGAACAGACTGGGCAGAGCTTAGTGATGAGAAGGTAACCATCCCCATCCTGGGCCCAGTTGTCTAACTAAACACATAGTCTGGAACTCTGGAAGAGAGTGTGACTGCTGTTCTCTTTGTGACGACTCCGTTTGTAGACTTCAAATTATTTCCTCCAACAGTGGAGTAAACCATCTGATCCTCAAGCCTGAATCTGAGATGAGCTACATGTTAGTGAAGGACAGGAATTATTTTGAATTGGTGGCACATTGTACTTCAATCCCTAGGTAAAGCCTGTCCTCTCCCCCTATCTCTCATTCCCTGAAGTAGTTTAAATTCCAGCTCCTCATGACCCCTCCACTGCAAGGGTCAATCATGTCCTGTCAGATGTGCTGACTTGAAATGTCACAACAGGGATTGCCCAGGGATTATCTCTGGAGATGTTTATTGGCCAAGGCCCCCAGCAGTGTAGGCTGGGGAAATGGCTTTTTGCGTTTGGGCAGGTTGCTTCTTCAAACTGCTGGGAAATAGCTAGTTTAAGAGGCAGGACTGGGATTCAAAAGAGCCCTTTGCAATGACTGATTATTCACAGAAGTGGCCTACACACAGCACTGTGCAGAACCTGCAGAGCCTTTCCCCAGCAGAACCATGCTATTTCAGTAGTGTTGTTCAGTTGTGCCACCTTGACTGACAGCTATTTCCCAGACCCACTTGGCTCTTTTCTGAGAGTGTAAGAAGAGAGATAAAGCCACTTTATCAGAAATTGTGGTCTCCTACTCCCATTCTCCACAGGCAATGTTTTCCTGAGCTTTCTGTTGCTGTGACAAAATACCTGAGATATTCAAGTTATCAGGAGAAAGAAAGGTCTACTTTGGCT